GAGTTCAGTATAAGAGAGTTATGATTGTCTTTGTCCATTAGGACTACTGTAATAAATGACTAAAGTACTTATAAACATCAGAAATTTAAGTTTCACATTCAGAAGGCTGCAAGTCCAAGATCAAGGCACCATGATATTTAGGGTCTGATTCATAAGCACGCATCTTTTGACTATGTCTTTGCACGGTGAAGGAGTTTGAGATCTCTCTGGGTTCTCTTTTATAAGGACGTTAAGCATGTTCTAATCACCTTCTAAAGTCCCTACCTGATAATACTATCACATTGGGGATTAAATTTCAATACATGAATTTTGAGGGGACACAAACTTCTGACCTTAGCAACAGTCCACTCTGAGCCTATGCCTTGCTTACTCAATTTTTTTCCATCATTCACCCCTCTTCCACATGGTCCTTTGGTCTCAGGATACCCTGATCCCATCTCTCCGTGGCGATTTAGTCTATCCCTGTGGGTCTCTTAATGTGGATTCCAGGTTAACGAAAACAGCATCACTTGGGAACTTTTTTGAAACACACAGTTAGGAATGTAAATTCTCAGGCCCATGCTTATTGAGTAAGAGATGATTGGGCTAGGGCCCAGCAATCTGTATTTTACTAAGCTCTCCTGGTAATTCTGAAGGAGCTTACACTTGAGAACCACTGATCCTCATCAATTGTGGTAATCACATTTCCCTTGATAATGGTTGGTTCCTAAACCCGAAGGTAGTCCTGTCAGCAGTGAACTGAAAGGAACATTGTTTACTCCACAGTTGTAAAAGAGGCTGATTTCTCCTCTTGTCTTTCCCCTGCCCTCTTTTGACAATATAACTAAGGTAGTCCATTCATGTGTTTGCTCCTAAGGCCAACGTATAACCATGAGGGGAGAGCTGAAAATATCACAGCCAAAAGGAGCCAGACTCTGTGCCTGTGATCCTCCTGTTCTCTGACACAGTGTATTTCCTTATGGCTTAAACCAGCTGGAATTGAGGTTTTTAACACTTATAGCTAAAATGTAACTACAGATGAGGCCAAGGAAGCACAGGAACAATGAGCATACCAAAAATATTTTAAGATAATAAAGGATGTATTTAGGCTCACAGCATTTTCCCACCAATTTCCAATCACTAGATCCAGGTAGAATAACTGTTACAACCTGAGAAAAGCAGCTTTGTACAAATAAAATACAGCATTATTTATACAGTGAGTCTTGATTGGGGAGTTGGCTGAAAATACACAAATGCCTTGTTTTAAAGAAGAGATGGTCTTTAAGCATATTCTTAGGTGACATTTAAAAATGGAGCAATGTTTAGGGTGAGCCTGTGTGATTTTGTAGTGCTAAAAGAGAAAGAAGCGCTAAAAATAAAAATGATGACATTTTCAATTGCTGAAGGCGAGACAACCTGATCAGACAAAAAAAGTAACAACGTTGGTTTATAACCCAAAGACTAAGATAACTACCCATGAGTCTATGCTGATTTAAATAATGATGGAATAAGTAAAGAAATGGGATAGAAGGTACTGTTTCTCCTTCAGAAGAATTCCAATGAATTAATGAAGAAGCAATACAGGAGATAGCAACATTACAATAATATTTTTTTGCAGGTAAGATCCAACAGTGAACCCTAAATTGGGGAAAGGTTTGAAGAAAAATGAGATATTTACATAGTTTGAAAATATCTTCCTCCAGTAGAAAATGGATATGTAAGATAAACTAGGGTAAAATAGGAGAGCATCTCTCCAGATTTATTTTCTCTAAAATATGCCCCATGGTTTCAGAGATGGAAAAGGCAATAGCTTGGTTTAACATTACACAAAAAAGACTTCACAGATTCCTCCTGCAAATAAAAGGTCATTGTTGTTTAGAGTTCTTCAGTTGGCACTGAGCTGGATGTGGCCTGGCTCCCCCAGTTGTCTCCCTTCTCACCACTGAAGAATCCAAAAGTCTTGTGTTCACTGCCACCCATCCCCGAAGCTCTAAGGTTGTTCACTGCCTGGCAAGGTGGCAACGAGTTTCACAAGTCAATCTCAGCATGCAGATTGACTGTGTTGCTTTTAATTTTTCTGAATTTTCTGGTTATTTGTATTGGCGTAGGGCCATGTTCTGCTCTTCCTAAACTGGAGCACATTCTCAGAAAGGGTTGGTCCCACCATCTTCATGTTGGTTGAGGCCAAAGTCTGGTTTCATTTTTCATTAAACTCCCATTTGTAACTTTCATTGAACAGAAATGACAGGTCCAACTGTCTTCATTCAGTATTTGTACAAGAGAAGGACTTCTCGTCTCTGGGGAGAGTGTGTGATTTATTTATCCTCCATTGTGCAATTAGTTCACCACCATTTTAGCTAACACAATGTTCTGGAGAAAAATATTGCTGTATCACATGGTGACTTCACTTATGTTGGCAGTGACTGGTTTCTTACCTAGATCCATCAAAGTCCACATCACTGGGCGGGGCGAAGTGGGGATTACATCACCGGAAATGGCTCTGGTTTGATTAGAAGTTAGTGTTTGGAGGGCTGAGCCCACGTCTTCCCTCTCCTGCCTGTCCAGGCTCTGGCACATAGCAGGTGTGGTAGTCATCAGTGCTGGTCACCAAGCATTTTCAACTTTTCATTTCCTGAGTCCTGGTATAGGGATATATCTGCCGGCCTTTCATGTCTAGGTGCAGCTATGTGAATGGTTCCAGCTGATGAGTTGGGAACAGGGCTGCTGCACATCATGTCTATGCTGGAACATGCTTGTGGTCCAGAGCTCCTTATACCCCTTTAGCTCTTGATGGATTTAAATCCCAGCTCTGCCATTTACTAGCTGTGGACATTGGGAGATGCTACTCAATCTTTCATGCCTCGGTTTCCTCAGCTGTACAATTTGCTGAGTGTTCACATGACAGGGGCCACCACTGGAAGGTGGACCAGGAGACAAGCATTCTGCCCTCCCTATTCAATTTCTGCCATATTTGCTAACTGATCTGTGCCTCTTGATCAAACTTTCTGATTTGTTTTCAGACCCTTTGGGGAAGGGTTAAAGTTACTCACTTGCCAGTTGCTGAGGCATCAGCCTACAGGCTTTGGATAAATATTTAACCACAAATCCTAAGCAGCCACAGCCTGCTTTCATGCCACAAGTCAGTACCTGGGTAGGAAACAGATAATCTGGACTCTCTCGTGAAAAATGAAGGGAGACTTTTAGCTGGAGAACTGGGTCCTGTCCTTGGTCCCAGCCTCTTCCCTCTTTTCGGAGGTCCTAAAGTCAGAGTTAGATTAATCTTAGAGTGTGTTTCAGGAAAAATGAAAGTTTGGCTGGAAGTGTATCAAAACATGAATTTTTAATTTTAGGGTAAGGACTGACTCACTTTTGTGTTTTAGACATATTTCCTTAAAGTACTTTTTTAAAAAAAAATACAAGCTGGCTTAAAGAAAAAGCATACTTTTGGTGTTCCTTTTTGTGACTATGACTATCCTATGACAACATTCCAGTCCAGTCCATAGTTGATGGGCACTGGGGGGCAGTTCCCCATGTGAAATTATTACAGATACACTGTTATGCTATTCCAGCCTTTGGTCAACACACACACGCACGCACGCACGCACTCACACGTGTTTATGTTGAGTATACACGTAGAAGGGAATTTGCTCATCATAGGATAGTTACATTCTCAGTTTTATTTAATATATTCTGCTAAAGAATCTCAAAGTGCTAGAAACAATTTATACTCCCACCAGCAGTGTGTGCATGTTCTGGTGACTCTATACAGTCTAAAGCAGGCTTTATTATGAATCAAACACACGCAAGTTAATTCAAACAGAACCAATTTAACCCTTTGGAGTAACATCGAGTCTGTTTATTAAATACACTCTGTTCCTCCCTCATCATAACTTCTAACTTGTTGTTGTTGTAGTTTCAACCTGGATGAGCTTCCTGACTTCTACTCTCCCTTAATCCAGTCAAAAGTCCCTCTGAAAACACTGCATTCATTTATCCAGCTACAATGTTGTGAGTGTTAATAAACTGGTGTTTACAAAACAAATTCAACCCCTCCTGCGAAGCGGAGCGGAGCGGAGCGCGTATCCTGCCCCTGACGTGGCTAATATGGCAGAATCAGCCAGGCTGTGCTCTGCTGTTCTGTCCTGTATAACAGCATGTCTCCAAGGCCATGAATGCCATTCGGAATCCAGTTTGGGTCATAACAAAAACAGTATGTTCTCCTACAAGTTTTTAATGAAAGACAACAGTGTTTTAAAAGTGATAAAGCATTTTACAACTATAGGAGCCATTTGACTGTAAAGAAGAGGGTGGTTGTAAAAGAAGTCTGAGCCCCAGGGATTCAGAGCGCTTACTCAGGTTGCAGAACTGAGCCTCTAGTTTTCCACCTGTAAAAATGGAGTACTCTAAGGAGCTGCTTAGGTGAACTGTACATTCCACTCCGATCCAGTTTTTATCCTATGAGGGTAGAGATCTTGACAGGAGGACAAAGTAATGCAAAAATCAATTCATTAAAACAATTTATTTCAAATACTGCCATCTCATCTCTGCACCCTCAGCAGATAATGCTCAGTATCCTGGTTACTAGGTACCTGATGAACTATGTTCTTTATCAGGACGTCACAGAAGTGAATTTCCCCAGGACTTTCTCTTTTTACCCGTCTCTTCAGATCCTCCCTCCCAAGTGATCTGGTTTCTGCATTCAGAATATTCGAGGAAGGGCGACGTCGGGCCTCCCCAATTATCACAGCGCGGTGCAAAAAGCAGCGAGACAGGCCTCTTGGGGACCAGGGCGACCCCTAAAGGTGAGCCGCTGACAGGGGAAATCTGGTCCGGGACAGACAGCGCCTGGAGGCTCAGGCTTACAGCCCGAGGGTCTCGCCGTCTAGGGAGCCCAGGGGCGCTGCTGGGCCTCTGACAGGGCGGGGTGGGCAGCCAGGCTCCCAGGCCCCGCTTTCCCCACCTCCCAAGCCCGACGCTCCCCGCAGGGCTTCAGCCCTCCCCTCTCGGCGCCCCGCCCGCACCCCACCTCCGCGCCCAGCCTCCGCGCCCAGCCTCGCCGCCGCCGAGCGCCGGGCTCGCCACGCTGCGCTGGGCAGTTGAGAGCAGGCGGGAGGTCGAGCGGTCCGGGAGCGCCGGGGGCGGCGCCCAGGCGGTGGAGGGCGGGGAAGGGACGCGGCCCGAGAGGAGGGGGCAAGGGGAAAAAAGGGAGAAGGAGGTCCGGAGCGCGCCAGCAGGCAGCCGGTCGCCGGGACCGCAGGTAAGCTTGCGATCGGTTTGTCCCCGTGGATCCTAAGGGCGAGTCCCGAGAGCCGGCGCCTGGCGCGGGAGGCTCGATGGCAGCGCGTGGACCCGGAGGGCTGCGGGACGGCAGGGCGAACGCTCTCTCCACCCGGCCGCGTCCGGAGCGGGCCCGGGCCATCCCGAGAGGCAGAAGGAAAGCGCTCAGCCCTGGAACCCCGCGCTCGCGAAGGTGGGAAACCACGTGCCACGGGAAGCGGGACTCCGCGACGCGTTCTCGGAGGGAGCAACTTGTATACCCAAAACCTTTTACCTCACTCAGATCCTTGCCACCCCTCTAGGCAACTGAGCCACCAGCCTTACTCGCGCGGGTGGCTTTCGAGACGTGACTCATGGGGACTCGGTTTGTCGCACCGGGCAAATGGGTGCGGTGGTGCCCGAGGTGCATAAAAACGTCCAAGTCCCCGACAGTTGCACTTAGCACCACCTGGCGGGGCCCTGAACAGGTGGCCCCAGGAGAGGTGGGATGGAACTGCAGCCGGGAGACCACGGGTGAGCATGGGGAAAAGGCTGGTGGCCTGGGGTGAGCACGTTTGGGCAGGAAGTTGACTTTTAGGGCTCCGGATTTGTAAATAGAGTGAGAGGCAGAAGTAGACCAGACTGGTCTGCCAGGATCCAAATGAAGCTGGAGATTTTCCGTGGCTCCTTGAACAGTGACATTTCTTCCCTGTACTGTGGACATGAATCCCCAGGGAATCTTGTCCAAATGAGGTTCTGATTCAGTATGTCTGGGGTGGGGCCCCGGAGTCTGTATTTTTTTTTTTTTTTGTCTTTTTTATCGGTACCGGGGATTGAACTCACGACTCCTTGCTTGCAAGGCAAGCGCTTATGCCGCTGAGCTAAATCCCCAGCCCCTCAGAGTCTGTATTTCTAACAAGCTCCCATGCTGCTGCCCCTCAGACTACACTTTACATGGCAGAATGATTTGTTGCTCAACAGGTTGATAATCTTAGGAAAAGTAGGGGAGATCCTGAGAAGTCCTCAGTACAACTGCATCCCTACCCTAGACACACAGGTTGAAAACACACCATCGTTGCTGATTTAATAGTGAAATGTTTCACATTTCTTACCGATTTTTTACCCAAATACACGATCTGACAGGAGAGCTGGCCTTCTGGATATGCAACCTGCACTTGATTCTAATGATGAAATTCTTAATGACTTTTGAACAAGGGGCCTTGCGTTTTCATTTTGCCCGGAGCCCCACAAATAATGTAGCCGATCCTGTCTCAGTCACCATAGATAGCAAAAGCACCATTTCCCCTGTCAGGGTTTGAACTGCTGGGTGATGTTGAATAAAGGTTCATTAAGCAAGCTATTACAGTTATTCTAATCTTTTCAATTTCCCTTTAGCTACCTTATGAAGTAAGCTTATTTGTATGACCCCATTCGTGCACAGTATGACCTAAGTTAAATGCTTTATGAATATTAATAATTAACATTTTGTCAAGAGCATAATTATCAGTGGGCAATGTTATTGTGTGTGATGTCAAAATAATTTGTGAATTCGGGTATGTAGTATTTCTAAAGGATTTGGGGAGTCCCATAAAATATTGTTTAGGTTATAATCTGAAATGAGCTGGCCACTGCTTGGTTTGCCTGCTTAAGCAGCTCAAATGCAAAGGTAGACAACAAAAAGCAGACAAATTTTGTAGCTATTCGGGGGCATTGTTTTACGAGGCCTCAGCTGCAGGCCAGCCCTGATCGCCCTGATCAGATTCCCTTCTGCTTTTATCATTCCCACATCCCTACAAGGTGACTTTCCTTAAAAGAGGTATAGAGCAAATTTAGCTACTGAAGAAATACAGGGCTAGCATCCATGCTTTGTCTGTGAATTATTGTTGCCCCCAAAACACAGATACCAAGTGTATGGATGTACTTTTGTAGAAAAAAATGGTGGAAATACAGAAAAGGGCGAAAAATGGAACTCTAATTATGGAGATGGTTTTGTTCAGCAGTGGGGGAAAAAAATCTGAGAAATGGAATTCCATTGGTGCATTTGGCAGGGAATGGAAAGCCACTGTGTTTTAGTACCATGAGAGGTCATCCAGAAATGGTGAAGTGAGTTTGCTCAGGTATTATTTTCTCAGGAAAGCCCACAAAGAAGCTGATTTTCCATGGTTGATGTGGTCATTCATTCTGGGGTCTCCAAGGGGGGAACATCATAGCATATGTTCCTGATGCATTGGTTGCTCAGATGAAACTAACAAACAATTCACTATTTTGATGCCTGAGGGTTCCCAGTCACTTACAAATACATGCTACAAACTGGGAAGAGTGCCATTTAATTAAAAAATGGGGAGGGGAAATGTGTTTCTGTAATGTTAATAGTTTCAAAATTAGAAAGGAGAAATTCTGCTTTCAATAAAAACCTATGAGCTGGTTTTTGTGCTACTCTGAGAAGAGCCCTCTCTATATCAAGATAGAAAATGATCATTTTAAGATGTTTATGGTTTTTAAAATATGTGGGTTTTTAATCTGTGTGGAACTTATTTTGAGGGGGTGGTATGATGGAAGGTGGATTGCATTTGAGAAATTTGGGGGCAACTATAAAATACATTCCCTCAAAGATTCTGGTAAACCCTCTGTTCCATTTTATAAATCTATTAATTCTTGAGTCCACTTGGTGTTTTCTAAATTGAAATATAACTTATTTATGGTAAAGTTCACTCTATTAGTGTATAGTTCTAGAAACATATATAATCTTGTAATTAATACCTTATCAAAGTACAGAAGAATTCTATCACTCCTAAAAATTCATTATTGACTCGGTTTTTGTAGTCAAAACCCACCTACCAGTCTTGGCCCCAGAAAACCACTGATTTGTTTTTTGTTCTTGTAAGTTTTGTCTTTTCTAGAAGGCTTATATGCCTTGTAGGCTTTTGAGTCTTTTACCTAACCTAATACATCTGAGACTCACCCATATTGTTGAGTGGATCATTTTATTCTTTTTTATTGCTGAGTTATATTCCCCAGTTTGTTCATACTTTCACCAACTCTTGCTACTTATAAATAAAGCAAATATAAACATTCAAATACAGCTTTTTGTGTGAATATAAATTTTCATCCCACTCTGTTTGATACTTAGTGTGGATACTGATACTGAATTGTGTGGCAAGTACAACTTTATAAACTATTGCCTGACTTCCTGAAAGTGGCTGTACCTTTTTGTTTTTTGAGGTTTTCTTTTCTTTTGTTTTGGTGGGGCTGGGGCTGTAACCCAAGGCTTCATAGATGTTAAGCAGGTGCTCTGCCATTGAGCTATACCTCGAGCCCTGGTCATACATTTGCATTTCCATTAGCAATGTATGAGAAGTTTGGTTGTTTAGCATCCTTGTTAGCACTTAGTATTGTCGGTTTATTTCATTTTAGCCATCCCTGCAGGCTTGTGATATCATATCTCTGTGGTCTTTGTTTGCTCTTTGTTGATGACTCAGAATACTAAGCATTTTCTCATGTGCTTTATGGTCATTTATGTACCTTCTTTTGCAAAGTATCTGGTTTTTTCCTCCCAGTGCGTTTGATTATTGGATCATAACTTTTTCATGTAACTGGATACAAATTCTCTGTCAGTTCTATATTGAAAGGATTTTCTTTTAGTGTGTAACTTGTCATTTCATTTTCCTAATGATGCTTCTTTGATGAACAGGAGATTTTAATTTTGTTAAAACTCTTATTTATCAAGCTTCTTTCTTCTATGGGTAGCATTTTTAGTGACCTGTCCAGTAAATACCTGTCAGTCCAAGTTTACTAGCTTCATCCTGTGCTTTCTTCCAGACATTTTATAGTTTTATCATTTACATGTAGGTCTCTAACTTCATTTCAGGCTAACTTTTGTGTGAAGATTTGAGGTTCACTTTTTGCATATAGCTATCTAGTTGTTGTAACATCATATGTTAAAAAAACTCTACTTCTCAAATTCCTTTCGACCCATGTGCCAAAAAATTGTATGTGCATAGGTCTATTTTTGATGTCTCCATTGTATTCCATTGATAGGTCTATCCTGTGCCAATACCACACTGTAGATCGTACCCATTCTTTTACAAAAATGAATTCCTAGAGTATTTTTTGGGTGTCATTTTTACTGCTTTTAGAAATTACAACCCCTTTTTACCATCTCACCTTTAATTTACCATACTATAGAGTAAGTAGGCTAATTTCCATTTTTGTAGGTTCAAGCCATCTTATGGAACTTTTATGTCATCGTTTTCTGATTTTCATGAATTTCAAGGTAAATCCTCATATTGTCTGTGAATGCACTAGTATAGAAACTCCCTCCCCTGCTATTTTTACCTCATTTAATTTTCTTATCTCAGTGGACAGGTTTCCTTCTCAGGTAATGTTAGGTAGTTTTTTCTAGTTTGGATGGGAATGCTTCTAATGTTGTACCATTTAAGCATTATGCTTGCAGTAGGATTCTGGTTCAATCTACAGGAGTTTTCTACTTTTATCTTACTAAAAGTCTAAAGTTCAATTTAAACATTTCTGATTATGCTTAGAATTTTTTTCATTGAAAGCTTAATTGGTTTTCAACCAGTCTTCCTGGTTTGGGGGATTTATATTTTGACCTCCTTTGGGAAATTAATATTGGCTTTTATTTCGATTGATTATGAAGAAACTATCTTAGTGAGACCTTGTTTCAAAATAAAAAATGAAAGAAGGGTGGAGGATGTAGCTCAGTGTGAAAGCCCTGGGTTGAAATATAACTATATATATAATTGAAAGAGCACCTCACAAAGTATTAATACATATTTCCATGTGCAGTATATTGTGATATTCTTAACTCTCTCCAGTCTGTGCTATTAATTTTATTTCCATTTTATAATATAAATTTAATAATATAAATATTTTATATTATAATATTTTATAATATAATATTTATATTATATAATATAATATTTATATTTATAATATAAATATAATATAAAATATATATTTTATAATAAATTTTATAGACTG